AAGAAAGAAAGAAAGAAAGAAAGAAAGAAAGAAAGAAAGAAAGAAAGGGAAGTTTACTCTTTTTTAATCATTAGCAATTGAGTCTTGACTCAGTCCCATTTGTTTTCCTGGTCAGCCAGGTACAGATGGTCACTACCCAGCATAAGACCTACCTTGTGTATTATCTCCAAACTGATGAACGTGGAACCCATGTTGGCCTTCAGTCAATCCTGTAATTTGTCCTGACACCAAAACTGGTTCACCACTTGCCTTTATTTAAAAAGAAAGAAAGAAATTAGGGCATCAAGTTTGAGTGCAAATGCCTCCAAACAAAGGGAATCGCTGGTCACACCTTTGCCCTTCACAGTAAAGGCACAAGAGTACCCCCCCCCAAAACAAACCAAACTAGACAACACTATGCCTGAGTGCACCCACTCCAGCAGCTTAGCTCCAGGCCTCTCTCCCTAGCAATCTTCTCAGCGCTTGCTGTGACGCCAGGTCGGCAGTCTCCGGGACTGCACATTTAAAAAGCACCTAGCAGAAGAACAAAACTAAGGGGGCTACTAAATGTCAGGCCTAGGGAGTAGCTGGGCACTGCACTGACTTGTGAGACTCTGACTTGATTCTCACAGAAATGCACACTGGCTACACCAGGACCCTTGTTTTTCACTCAGCACTAAGGAGTGTTTATCGCGTCCATCTGGGTCTAACCAGAGCTACTTAAAAAAAAAATCTTATTAGGCATTCAAATCTAGAGAACATCCGACTTAACAAAAAGAAAAGACAGCAACACTAGAGTAGAGAAACCATCCCCACCATCCAGGCGGCTTGTGGTGATGGTTAACTGAGCTGTAATGTTACGTTCAAAATTCAAATTAGTATAACTCCAGAGAGATTGTAACAAGGAGGAAATGCAAGAAGCAACTGCATTTCTAAAACACACATGCTGAAATCTTTATCTTTTTTTAAATCGCCAACTTTTTTGACAAAATAATGGACGGCAATTTTGATTTTGGTAAAGTTGTTAACAGGTTAAATCAAACAGCGATGATAGCCAAGTTATTACAAGTGCCAAACTGGAATGTGTAACTATCCAAGGGTCTTTTTCGGGTACAAAGGGCACCGGGACTATGCAGCTCCTCTGGGAAGGAGGAAGAAGACAGGACCCCTAGCTTTCTCAGAGCGGTGGATTACATGTGAAGGAGAAAAAAGGCAAAAACCAACCAAACAAACAATTTATACAGAAAAAGAGCAAAATGCATTAAAATGCCAAAGGAAGTGCTGACATCAAGCCAGGTGAAGAACTAAATTTCACATTGTTCTCCCTCGCATAAGGGAGACACTTGCATAAGGGAGAAACGTGCTTCTCACGTTTATGTAAAACATTCTAGAGCGCACAACCACACTCCATTTATCAAATATTCTCTCGGGATTAAGCTAGGTCTAAGAAACGCCTCCTGCAGACGGCAATCTCCCTGGGGCTCTGGACACAATCTTACCACAACACCAGCCCTGTGATGCATGTGTTTCTGCAGTATTACAGTAGTTTTCGAAAATATCTCGCCATACTTTTCTTCAAAATGTCCTCAGACACTCGCTGCCCTAAACAACACCCAGTCGGGCGTCTCTCTGGAGCTTTGTGCGCAGAAAAGCACTGAACGACAGTCCAAGGCCATGTTTCTCCCACCCTTGGGCCCGACCCTGACCTAGCGCGCAACAGCCCGCGACGTTGTTTTTAACTGCCAGAAACGCCTCCTGCTGCGTTACTCCAGGTCCTCACCACCACGACAGAGTATCTGAAAAACCCACTCAGCCGGTGGCCACAGAGCCCTGAGCCCGTGGACAGGGACACCGGAAAAGCAGCAGCCCCAAAGAAATAACGGACGCCAAGAGGGCTCTGTCGGGCGGGCCCGAGAGCTCCGGGGCGCGGAAAGGGACCCGCCCGGAAGGCCCCGCGAACCCCGGCCTCCTCCCTCCTCCCCCGGGCCC